CAACGTTCTCAAGGCATCCAAAATTTCATCGCCAGATGGGCTCGAGAGGTTGCAGCAAATTGTATATAGAGACTTTATACAAATACTTTAGTCTTTGTAGATCGTGGAATGGGTTGCTTCGAGCCTGATCTTGGCTCCCTATGGCCGCTCTTGTTGGTGATTGTGAGTGTATGTGTGCCTTGGGCTGTTGCCTCACTGTGGCTACAGCTTCCAAAACCGCTTGCAGAACCTGAAGCGGTGGAACAGCAAAGAGCCCATCCACCTCCATCTGCTGCAGCAGTAGGAGGTTTTGTTTTCGTGCCCGGCCGGACCCTGTCATCACCCACGAGAAGGTCACAGTCACCGTCCTCACCAATGAGAAGGTCACCGTCTGATGGCTGGGAATTTCCCAGCCCAGGTGGAAGGCATGCTCGACTTATCCATGTGAGCGGCAGGAAGTATCGTGGAGGCTCTTGGCAGTTGACTGAGTAGATTTACATTTGTTGATACACTTATTTGGAACGGCCAATCTCGAAGAACAGGTCGTAAAATTTGCTGCAGTGCTTGTACAGTTCTAATGACTCAAGCTAAGAAGGGAGAAAAAATATTTCCAGGAATCTGTGCAGCGACCACTGTCTTGTCTTGGTCTTGTCCTTGTGTTGGATATATAAATAAATATATATATATACAATGTTTGAATGAATGCATTCCAAGTGATTGAACCTTCTTTGTTGAACTGTAGGGGCCCATGACTTATGGAGGGGAGGGTGGCTTGTCACTTGTCACAGGTGAAGTCAGAAGATGGCACCGTGTTGCCCGATCGTGTGAAGGCAACTCAGGGGGTATTTTGACTTGAGCATTTGCCTAACAGAAAGACATAGTTGAAATGTTTGAAGGCATTCCAAGTGATTGAATCTTCTTTGTTGAACTGTAGGGGCCTATTACTTATGGAGGGGTGGGTGGCTTGTCACTTGTCACAGGTGAAGTCAGAAGATCGCAGCGTGTTGCCCGATCGTGTGAAGGCAACTCAGGGGGTATTTTCACCTGAGCACTTGCCTTGCACTATATTTATATATATATAGATAACATAAAGACATAGTTGAAAAGAATGATCCAGGGAAATTTCCAAGAGCAATGTTTTTCTTGTGCAGGTGAAGCTTGAGCCGCTACAGGAGGATAGTGCCATGTCCAGCAGATGTGTGGTGAAGGCGCCTCAGCAAGCCTATGTCGCGCTTTCAGCCTAAGTGTAAGCACCTGGATGAGGGTGATGAACACATGCTTCTGAAAGCAAACAATACTCATCGTGTTCATCAAGAATTCGTTTCCATGATAGATGTATATATATATATATAGATTGACCAGTTCCTCGTGTTTTCCCCAGGTGCAGAGCGAGCCACTCCAGGAGCCACGGAAGCGTGAGCAGGCTTGCCAAGTGTGATTGGACAAGCTTTGCAATCAACACTGTGTGCATACTGATACACACTTAGGATAGGGTGTACTGAACTGAAAGCGGTGCCACTCGCCGGCCTAGGGTTCCATTTCTTAAGGGTACAGGTAAGGAAACCTAAAAAGGAAGCGGAGGTCCATCCAGCGGAGGTCCCGAAGGTTTCAGGTGGCCAGCAACTCCAAACGAAAACACCGATCGAGCGAACGACAAGGTGACGACGTGCGTGCAGAAAAGCCAAGGTCATCGCCGCTGCAGTAGCCCTTTACTGAAGGAAACAACGAAGTAGACAGCTTGTGCTCTACGTAGGTTTCTCTCTCGGCAGGTACGTCAATCCGGCGTCCCGGATTGATTTCACCAGCACACATCCAGTGTCTTCGTTGGTGCAAGACTGGATGGGCTGCTTGCACCCCCTGCTGTAAAAAGTGTAACAATCCAAATGGATCCCTGTGATTCCAAGGGTTACACACACACACCAGCGTGTGTTTGACGACGCGTATATATATATATATAGCTTGCTTTCACTCTGTGTTCAGGCAACAGCTTCTGGCGACGGTGATAGTTCCCACCAGAGGGAGCCTGAAAGGAAGAGGCTGAGAAGGGCTGCTGTGGATGAGCGTAAGGGATCAACAGACTCCCTGCCAAGCTCTTGCAGCGCAAACTTCTCCGGGCGTGTCCTTGTGCAGCCAGAGATGGCAGAGAATGAGGAATCTGATAATGTAGAGGATGATGTGGAGAGCGAAGATGAAAATCTCAAAGCCTGGAGGTCCCACAGCATGGCCGTTGTATTGAATGGACCTGAATGGTCTGCAATTACATCAGGATCATCTGGCGCTATAGTCAGAGGCTTCCGTCCTTCATGTTCTCCCCTCCTGGCCATTGTGCGTAGTGCGCAAGGTCCAATGGCTGTAGGCCTGTTTACCTGCGCAGAGTTTGCTGACGCTGGCCAAGATGATCGGGGGCTTCGTGCAGCAATAGAGGAGCACTGTGGAAATCTGTTTGAAGATGTGTATGCAGTGCACGCAGAGAAGGCAAGCGCAAAGCTGCGGTGGATGTGGAAGGTGAAGTCAGTCTATGCCTTTGATCAACCATCGGAAGTTCCCGGTGTGAACCAGAAATGGTACAGCCGACCGTTTGTGGTCTCGGGGCTTGGAGAATCTTTGCCATGGCTTCCCGCCAATTTGATTGAGACGGCCACCTATTTACTGGGGCGCTTGCCACAGGAACAACAGGATACCATTCGGAGGATCGGCCGCTCTTTGCAAGGTAAAGAAATCCGAGTTGGAACAACATGTTCGGGCACAGACATTTGCATTGCGGCTCTCCGGTCCGTACTTGACGTGATCTCTGGGCAGGCAGTTGCACATTGTGTTTCCACATGTGCGCATGGATATGAACAAATATATATATATATATAATCACCGCCAACACTTAGAATGCCTAAGCATTTGCTGTTTGTTCCCTGTGTCCCGTCAGGCTGGCAGTGTCCGCGTGGTGCACGTGTTCTCTTGTGAGTGGAGCCCGGAAAAGCGACAGTTGATCCGTCAACAGCACGATGATTTGTTGCACTTGTTTGCAGACGTTAAGAACTTTTCTGAAGAAGCTGGCTACTGCTATGTGTGTGCCTCGACTGTTTGTTTTGGTGGTGCGGCGTGTGTTGGATGGGTCCTGTGGCAGTGTATGTAAGTTCCAAGTGCAAACCCAACCTGAGGCCGCCGGAAGCATCGCATAAACAAGCAGAACTGCAAGATTGATTTGCTACTCAGCGGTCCAGCTTGTGTAGACCATTCTCTCATGAACTCGAAGCGCAAGGATTTTTTCCGGTTGCTACACAGGGGAGGAGGATGACCCGAACCTGGGCTCTTCCGGAACAACCTATATCCATGGATTCAAGAAGGTGGGGCATAGACGGCTGGCTTTAAAACAGCGTGTTGTTGTCAAATACCTTCAAATACTATATATATATATAAACCTCGTTCCAAGTGCATTTTCACCAGGTGAGCCAGTTGCTCCAGCCAAAGCTGGCGCTGTATGAGAATGTGAGAACAACTGCTCACCGTACCAAACGGCGGGATGGGACTTGGGTTGAGCCAGCCATCAAGGCGGGGTGTGTTTCAGAGAGTTTCCCTTCTGATATCCTCAGCATGTTTGGGCAACCAAGCTTGTGAGGTGGTGGAAAGAGACTTTACAGCTATGGGGTACGACTTCGCAGGAGCCTCGGGAAGTTGGAATAAGATGTATATGGAAATCGGGAATAGCACTTCCATAATACATACATTCATATGTATATATACATACAGATTCTGAATGTCTATCAAGCGGCATTCAAAGTGGTATCCAGTGAAGCAGTGAAGTGAACCGCATGAGGTCTGGTCAATTGTGAACTCCTTCCGCTACCTGTTGCCACAACGCCGATACAGAGTCTGGGGACTGGCAGGAGTAACTGGTGCCACAAACCCTGATTCCATGCGCACTACCTTCGCTGCGTCTTTGATTGACATGGCCTCTGAAGCACAGATCTCACGCGATGAGATCTTTTGCCCAGCACCCGAGCAGTCCTTGCAAGAAGGGAGGCATGAAGAGTTGGTAGCTGCTGCTGAGAGGCTTTATGGCTCTGGTGACCTCTTCGTTGACGTGAGCACGTCAAAGCAACGGGTCATTGCCAACTGCGGTGGCGTGCCATGCACCCTCCCCACACATCCCGTGTGGTCAAACCGGCTTCACCGTTACCTCAATGCATCAGACTTTCTTCGATCGCAAGGAATATTTCCAGAATCTTTTAAGCCAGAAGTTTGGGACACCATGGTGAACACCCCGGGCTTCGGGCAGGATCTAGCTGGCAACAGCTTCAGCAGCACAGTTTGCCAAGGAGTCTTGTTGGCTGCCATGTGTGCTGCTCCTACTCTGTGGGCACCAGTTGGTCAAGACTTGTTGGATCAGTCATCTGCCCCAACTCTTGGTCACGCAGCAGCAAGCGCCCATGGACGTCCTTTGGTACGGGTCAGGGCCAAATCTACAAGGCCTGAATATGACTTTGCCCTGTCAGAGAAGAAGTCATCGCCAAAGCAACAGGTCCAGAGAGTAAAGAAAACATTGAAGAAAAGAAAATACCACAGGAAAACGCCTGGCTTTGATAGCCGGCTCTTGAGCAAGGGAAAGAAGACCATGATTACAGTTTGGAACAAATTGGAGTTGCTGCTCGGCTCCATGTATATATATATATATTTAAATACACTATATATGTGTTTACTATCCCGGCAGAGCAAATAGAATACAACTTAAGGAATTAGGAAACCTGCTGAAGTTTTCACATTTCCTTCAAAATCCTTACTCTTCCCAATTATACCGGGTCTGCGTCAGTGAATAAGATCCAATCGGTGCGCACAAATGATCAACATTCTATGTGTGCATTGAAAAGCATTCAAACTGATGCAATCACCAACGCTGCGTGAGGTTGAAGGCGTATGATGCAGCGAAGGAGAACCCGGAGATTAAATTCCCTGCCAAGCACATCCAAGCCTATAAAGGCTACTACAGGTGTTGCATTTACAAATGGCAAAAGCAACGGAAGAGCCAAATGTGGGACACGATCGCTCGCTGTGCTCCAAAGATTGCCAAAAAGTGCAAGGAGATTCCCAACTCAGTGCGGCTGAGCTTAGGCAAGGCTCTGAAGTTTGGATCGAGGGCCAAGTCCAATGATCAGAGCACTACCACGATGCTGCCGGCGGAACTGCAAGAACTTGTTGCAGAGACTGTAGTGACTTGGCCGGTGCAAAGACATTTTGATAGGGGGTGGCTTAAAAAGTTATTCCAGGGATCACCTGACCTACTGGAATATGTTTTTGAATAATATTTCTGGAATAATATTTTAGCTAGGTAGTGGTTCAAGGTACTACCTATAAATCTGGTATAATTTTTGGAATAATATTCCAAGATGTACACACATGTACATACTTTGTGTGCAGCTTTGTGATAGATTCTAAGTGTGGTGACATTTAGCGGGAAAATGAGGCAGAACGCATCGCCCTTGGTGAAGAATGCGATTATCATTTTGTTGCTGATGTGTTGATGGCCGCCATCGAGATGTGGAATAAAGGAGTTGATCAGTTGAAGACAAAGTTGGATGATCCAGAAGCATTTTGCCGAGAGCTGGTAAGGGAACGAGAAGAGAACCCAGAAGAAGATACTCCTGAAGATGCGATTGCCGATGACAGTGGAAACGTTGAGGCAGACTTTGAGCACCTTGAGCAAGCAGCCAGTACCTTGAAGGAGAATCTGTCCATCAAACTGCGAAAGATCCAACTCAAGCGCACTGAGAACAACTTCCTGCTACTGGGTCCAATGTATAGAGTGTTTTTCCCCAAACAGTTTACTGTTGGGGTTCTATCTTAGAAAGAAAAGAGCTGGCCACACTCACTGGCCGCGCCCCTGAACTCTGTGGCTGGGCTCCGTGGCTGGGCTCTGTGGCTGGGCCTTGTCCTCCTCTTGTCCTCCTCTTGGCGCCCCTGAACTCTGTCAACTCTGTGGCTGGGCTCTGTGGCTGGGCCTTGTCCTCCTCTTGTCCTCCTCGTGGCCGCGCCCCTGAACTCTGTCAACTCTGTGGCTGGGCTCTGTGGCTGGGCCTTGTCCCCCTCTTGTCCTCCTAGTATACAGCCACTCTGTGGCTGGGCTCTGTGGCCCGGCTCTGTGTCCGGGTCTTGTCCTCCTCTTGTCCTTGTCTTGGCCGCGCCCCTGAACTCTGTGGCTGGGCTCTGTGGCCCGGCTCTGCGTCCGCACCTTTCCAAGAAGGACAAACAAACAACTAGGGTCACTCAAAAAGTTTTGTGTTTTCAATTTTCTGAGCTTAGTTTGCTATATCTCCATCCACCTCCCATATATATATAAATAATGAGCAGCTCTCCGCCATTTTGATCCTCGCTTAGTTTTCTATATCTTCTTCCACCTCCCATATTTATGAATACTAGCTGCTCCTCCAAAAATGTTTCAGTGTTTCAGTGTCAATGCCGACAAAAATTCATTGATGAAGCAGTTTGCTCTTGGGGTGAAAGTAGGGCGAACCAAGAAATCGTTTTTTGACTAATATTGGTCTTAAACGAATCGTTGAATCGTTTTGAAGCTGTTTGGGGTCTATGCTTGTATATTTTTTTTTGGGGGGGGGGTGTTGTTCTATGTATGTATAGTGGACTTAGAATGTGCCCAAAGCATTTGGTTGCAGTTACATAGAATATGGGATGTTCATCAACGACCGCTCACTTAAGATACACATTCTAAGTGCAATACCCGACCACAAATATCTTCTATATACTGTATATAAATTCCTTTTGATTCCTATTGATTCCTTTGCGTGAGAGTCTGGGTGTTCTTTTGAGGAAAGCTTCCCAGCGGATTTGCAGCAAAGCGGGCATCGCACCGGCCCAAAATAGCAAGCCGGGGAAGCATCTCCCTCACAACCATCCACTACTCGAGAAGGTCAGAGGCTTTGTGCGTACCCTCCGGGATTCCAAGCAAATCCACCCGCTGCTTGTGGGAAATTATGACCAGGTATGGAGTCTGCAGTACAGACCCTCCCGGGCGACCTTGCAGCGGAAGGAACACGCTGATACATTTGCGCGCCACATGTCCTTGAGAAAGCTTCGACACAAGATTGAACTCGCCTTGGATCTCGATGTCACAGAGAATGTGGAAAGCAATCGGTACCGTCATCGGGCAAAGGCCGCTCCCACAGGAGGACAAGCCGCTTCAGCCGTCGTTGACGGCTGGCGGATTCCACGTACTATCACTACATTGTCATGGATCGACGGGACCATCTCCAGGGGATACGTGACCATCCGGGCTGATGGTTTGTCGGAAGAGGACCGGCGCCAAGCGAATCAGGACAGAACATGTCTTGCTAAGAAACGCCAGCAGGCATTCCAAGTGCTTTGCAGAAGCCATAATATGAATAGATTATATAGCATTGGTTTAAGTTTACCGGACTTGGAGGAACTTTCGCAGTGGCTGGAGGTTGCTCCGTTCCATAACCGCAGTCACATCTGGAACGCCGAGACGATGGTCAAGTACTTGGGATTTCTCGCGGGCGAGCTTCGTGCTCGCAGGCAGACTAAGCAAGCAAAAATATATGTTTTGTGTTTTTAAATGCTTGTGCCTGTCCTATCGGAAATTCTCAAAAGTCGTTGTGTAGTTGTAGGATTGCTTGCTTCACGCTAGGCGATCCCTGGGGCTTGGCTTGGATTCCGCCGCTTTGGTCATGTGCGATCAGGCGACTCAACACACGTCAGGCAGGATCCGGAGAATCCGCGAAGAATGGTGCAAGCAGCACAATGTGGTCCCTGTGCATGGGTTTGCTGTTTTTTTTATATATTCCTTCTCCTTTCGAACGGTAATTTAAAAACAAACATAGATCGTGTTTTGTTGATAGGTACTCGGGATTAGAGTGGGCATTGTCTTTTGCTGGTACACGTCAGCGGCATTCCATGTGTCCCAATGTGTTTCCAAAAATGTGCTCTGAGGTTTTCCTTTGCGGGGACAGCGAGGAATCCATTGGCGCTAGCATTCCTGGCGGGTTTGGAGCATGTGGCCAGCCCAACGATGGCTGGCATGCCTTCCTTCACCTTTTGAACCAGTCTTACTGCAAGGTTTCCATGAACTGGAGCAGCTGCCTGGAATTGAGGAAGAACTTAGATGGCTTGAACATGGGTGTCCAATCCTCCGTCAGCACCAAGACACTTGGCTTTCACAGAAAACATTGATTCTCGATTATGTTTTTCTTTGTTGTGCTTGTCGTGCCCAGATATAGATATCTTCTATGAATACATAAATGCGGATATTATATATATACACGTACACTATGCCGTCGGACTGACACTCAGAATGCTGCCTCCTTTGGGCCATGCTAGGAGCCATGGCCTCACAGCGCTGAGGGCTGATGCCTATGCCCTGCAATCGCTTGCAAACTTTGAGATGCTTGGACAGCTTTAGTTGTTCGATCTTTCTATGGAGTTTCAGCTTGTCTATGAGGTCAGGGGTGAGCTTCTTTTCTGCTTTCATATTTGATGATGTATTTTATTTTCCCAACAATATCAACAAGCAAGTTAGGAATGGACGTCTCATCTGGTCTGCTTGGCTCAAACGTGGCTACTGCACTCTGCAGGAGATTGCCGAGTGGCGGTACCAAGGCTATCCCTTTTTGATCCTTTTTGTGTTGTCCTTTTGTGGCATGGGACGCATATGAAAAGCTAGGACCTAGGAGGTCTAGACAAAGCATCGATTGTAATTACCGTTCGTTCATTTCATGGCATTCCAAGTGTATATACATGACGGGTGATCCCTGTGAAGGTCAAGAGATCAAAGCTGCTTGTGCCTATGGGCGCCAGAACACAGCGCTGTATGAGCTTACCAAGCTCAGCTCCGTGCCAGCCATTTCCGACGGCGTCAACCTTGAGGCATTGAGGTCCCTGCGAAATCTGCCGATGGAGGGAGAGCAGCAGCTCATGTGGGCAGTGCAGGATGGTGGTTTTGCAGCCACACGTCAGATACTTCCAGAGTGGATTGCGCATCCAATTGCTTTGAAGCTTTTCAAGTGGACCCATGAGAGGCATTCTTGGGACCAAAAGAGGGAACAGAGACATGATGGATTGCTCACGCCAGCAATGCAAAAAAAATACGATGAGTGGAAAAGCCAAACGTCGGAGTTCCGGTTTCTCTTCAGCATCAAGAAAGAGAGCCAAGTGACCCATGTCAGCGATCCCAGAGAGCTGAGAAGGAATCGCCAGGACATCTTTCTGGTTTCCGTGCTGCCTCATGAGGACGTGGCGCAGATGAAGCTCAGGGCCAATGATGGTGAAGAGCGTCGCCTAGTGGCACTGAGGGGGAAGCCAATCGCCAGCTCCTCACCTACTCCGGAGTTTCTGCGGAAGCCTTTGAGTGAAGAGGAGGCAGAGACTTTGCAGGTGGATGAGTTTCTCGATGCCCATGGTGATGGCATGGACGATGAGGCAGGCCTTTTTGTGTAGATGGAGGGTTGCTGAGCGAATGTTGAGTCGGAAACCGTCGGGCAAGTTACAAAAACATATAACAAACTTCCGCAAAAAACGGACCTTTCACAAGTCCTGGTTCTTTGAAGTTGTCTTGATTGGGAGTGTGTGCAGCCATTTTGTTTGAAGGGTGGTTCAATTCCTTGCCATGAAGAGACCAGCGTGCAAACGTCCAGCGGCTTGCATGAAGCGACCTTCTCAAAGGACTGCAAGGGTCGCTGGGAGTTGTGATTGGAAAGGGCCGCTGGGAGATGGGATGAGGAAGCATGGCATCGTTGTGTGACCGTTGGCCTTTCTCAGCGTGACACATAATACATCAAATGGGGAATGAATAGTAGTTGTTTCAATATATTAATTAGTAATTAAAGATTGCAAGCGTTGCAAAACCAACTGGTTGAGGACTGAGGAATTGCAAATAGCAAACCAACTAATCCACAGTTCCTAACAACTTTTTACTGGGTTGTACTTTGCAATGCCGCCTTCAACGGAGCTGAGCAAGCTGATGGCTACCCGATGCAGTTGTTCTTATGGGAAATGCTTCCAGCAATTTCGAGGCCGAGAGCAGCAACTGGCAAACCTTCGCAAAGACTTTAATGGGCTGAGCGATCAGCGTAAGGATGCCTGTTGTTTTATTGCAGGTTTGGGATGTTGATTCAGGATTTGTTTTGTTACTTATTATGTCAAGGTCTCGGTTTTTTCTCCATCCATGGTTGTTCTGAATGATTGTTCTCCAGACGTCCAGACCTGTCTTTAGTCCAGCAAGCATAATCACTAACCAAGGAACAGCTACTGCGTGAGTGGTACAACATTGGTTTGGCAGACCGCTTCAATTTGCAGGAATCTGCTGCAAGTGAGCCTGATGCCCCTGATGTACTTTTAGAATCAGAGGATGAAGGTCCAGTTTTGTATGAAACCAGTGATTCCAATGATGCTGGGGAGCCCCAGGTCAGTGAGTCAGACGCAGAGCTTTTGGAGACATCTTCGGAGGAGGACCGAGGACCACCTGAACCCCCACAGAAGAGGAGACGATATACTCCCAGAAGAGGATCACAATTGTTCATCCTGGAGCTGCCTGTTTGTGTCCATGCTCACAAACGAATCTACGCAATAGGATCTGGAGCTTTGCAAAACCTCAGGTCTCACATGGCAGGGTACACAAAGCGAGAAGATCGTTTAGCAGAGCCCAAGCACCCGACACTGGGAGTCTCGCTACGGCGCAAGACGACCAGCTATAAGTGGCCAGATGTCTTGAGTTTCTTTTGGCTCTTATACATCTCGGCCGCAGAGATTCTCCCCACCAAGATGGTCATGCCAAGTGAGATATTCAAAACTGGAAGCAAGTCCGTGGTCATGGAAGATGACTTTGAAGACAGATATGTCAGCAGCTTCATGCAGAATCTGGAACTTCAATGTGATCCAATGAAAGCTGCACACGTGGGCCCTGGAAGTTTTCAAGGGCCTCAGCGGTATCTTGAGTGGTCCACCCCTTCAGACCTCTACCTTCAATACGCGGCAATCAGTGAATCAGAAGGCAAAACACCTGCTGGGTTTACAACGTTTATGAGAACATATAGAGGAGTGATGGGCAAACATTTGAAATTTAGAGGGAAGAATGAACATGCACAATGCTCTGTATGTTTCCATCTACGTCTCAAGATCAAAAAAACCACAGGAGCTGCTCCAAAGAAGGAGGCCACAAGAAATTACACGCGGCATCTCTTGAGCCAATGGCTCGACCGACAATGTTATTGGTCTAGCAGGCAGTTGAGCAGAACATTTTTCACTAGCAGTCTGGTGACGAACATCAGCTGGCAGTCAAGTTTATGCTGCTGCATTATTGACGGCATGGACCAATCTAAACTTCGGCTGCCAAAGTGGGGGCGGCAGCGGATCAGCAAGAACCAGGAGCTTTTGTTCCGTCCAACTACACACTTGGCGGCGTGCTGGATCCATGGCTACAAAACATACATCGCAATAGCAGATGAAAATACCAAGAAAGACAGTGAGACACAGTCCGAGATTATCATGAGATCATTGTCAGACCTGCACTCAAACCATTCCACCATGCCGCTCGGCCTGCACACGCAGGCCGACAACTGCTTCCGCGAACAGAAGAATCAATATATATTCAAAATGAACCTCCTCCTCGTTGCGATTGGAGTATTCAGATACACCATCATGTCGTTTTTGAGAACGGCTCACAGTCACGAAGACATTGACCAACTATTTGGTCAAGTGGCAAGGCTATTTGGAGGCAAGACATTTGACTGTCCAAGCGACATGATAAAGCTCCTGAACAGAGTAAGCAGGAATGCTGAGTCGTCAGGCACTTCGAACGCCAGGTTGAGCAGCGCTGTGGCCTACAAGTTGGACCAAGTAAGCCGATGGAAAGAGTTCGGAGCGCAGACTGCCGTGAGCATCCACGGGATGCGAAGGGTACATTACTTTCGCATCTGTCATCGTGCAGACATCGGTGCGGAGACTTTGAGCCGCGTGTCACAAGTGGAGGACTTCAATGTGGGTCGTGTCCAGCCTCATGCAAACGACCTGTTCCTTGTAACAAAGAGATGGATGCATGATACATCTGTTAGTCGTGTGATTGCAGTCATGACGGCCAGTACCGCAGAGAAGCTTCGTCAAGGCTTCTCTGCTCCATCTGGATTGGCTGGACGAAGAGCGATTGGAGTCAAGGTGAGACAGAACATCATGACTCGCGTGCCCAAGTTGAGACAAGCTGGGGAACTTTCCGAGCAAGCCGCAAACTATTTGCTGTCCTGGACCGCTGGGACGCTGCACCAACATGCCAAGCCAGCTTCGTACAGCATTCTTTCATACAGGCACGATCCAAGTCTGCGAAGCGAAGCAAGGAACCCTGGAACATGGGTAACCCCTGCACGAAACAAAAGACTGGATGTCTTTTTACCAAAGCTCACAGAGGGTGATGATGCTAGCAGTGATGATTCCAATGACGAGGACAACGCGCCTGTTGACTTTCCTCCAGACAGTGGGCCTTGAAAAGGTGTGTCTGCTTCACCGAGCCATCATTATGTTTTTACCGGAGGCATACATTATTATGTTGTTTGTTTTCGGCGCTCCTGAGTCCAAGGTCACAAGTCTGTAGGTGCTAATTTGTTGGTGAGGACTTAATGGTGATCAGGTTGTTGCAAACCATGGTGTGGGGCATTTTGGGGCCAAACGCAGGCCAAAAGCATAAATATATAGACACATGGGGCACTGGGTAGCGATTTTTTTGCAGGACAATGGATACTTACTGTCATTTCCAGATGTGGTTTGAGGCGTTTGAAGGAAATGATGTTGCCCAGAAAATAGGTTCCCCAGTGATGTTTTTCACGGACCACTTCCCTCTCTCGCAGGAGGGACGAAGAGATTCCAGACGATGCCATCTTGATGGAATCAGACCCTGAAGCCGAGAAAGGCACACTAGGGTTGCCTTGTTCTTCAAATCAGTTAAGATAAGTGAAGGCATAAGAAGGGAGGCATCAGGTCAGGTCAGGTCAGTTCAGTCAAGCTTACCCTACGTTCGGCCTCTTTCCTCGCTTGTCAGGTGTGGCAGACGGCGCGACTGACATCATGCTCGAGTCGGATAATGAGACCAATGATCCTTCAAACGAGGTTGAGAGCGGGGGGGGAACCAATCACTCATGGGTGGATACGTCCAGGACTCTATCCTTCCCATCGCCAGATGCACCTCGACCTGTTTGTCCATGCCTTCACAAAGACTTGCTCATTTCAATTTTTTTCATGCATCCACCACCACCCCAACACCAAGGGTTGACATCAACTCAGGTGGGAGAGTTCGCGGAGAACTTTGTTCACAACCGCCATTTTGCTTTGCTGCGGTCAAAGTTGGGGAACGTCCTGCAGCACACAGATCACATCCGGGTTGGTAGTTGCTGCTCAGGGTGGGGATGCCTTGAAATGGTTCTTGAAGAGCTAGAACCACACTAGAATGATGCACATGAAGGATGGCAATTGAAGGCTAGGCTGTTGGAAATCATTTTGACACCTGGCTTGTTGAATGGAATTTCACGATGATAACAGATTCTAGATTCAAATCAAACACAGTGGCCTCAGGTGGACCTCAAATTCATGGTTGAAAACGACCCACCCAAGCAGAAGTATTTGCACACCCGGTTCAAGAAGCTTATCTTCAAGAACATGGAGGACATGGGCAAGGAGAGTGCTAGCACCTATGGGGATCCTGGCCATGCGACCATACCTCAGGCAAGACCAATTCAATCCTTCTAAGTTCTGATCATTCAATTCATAGTTGGAAAAAATATCCCAGGCCCAGTGATGTATTATGAAATAAGAAGTCAACAATACATTAATTTATAATATACAGACAGTATTTGTTGCTTTTGAGGCAAGTTCATCACAGAAGTTTACAGCTTTGGGCATGCACAATGCACAATTGTCAGGTGGATCTGCTTTGCGCCGGCTTCCCGTGTAAATCAGTCTCTACACTGTCAACGACGCCCGGCAGCGTGGTGGACTCATCATGCACATCCGGGATTGGCTGGCTTGGGGTGGAGAGTTATGTTCGCCGTCACCGTCCTCCCCTTCTCTTATTGGAGAACGTGAAGTCTTTGTTCTCTGAACGCAAAGTGGAGAAGGGTGTGTCAGCGCAGCTAGCCATCTATTCGGATAGATTTTGTATGATGGGGCATTGATTAAAGTTTTACTAGGAGGATGATAGAGGATGCAAACAACGCCTCATACTCTTTTCTTACTTTAAGAGCGCTCAACCCTAAGTAAGCTCCTCCTGTCAGCACGCTAAGGTATGAGCACATGAAGGACGCCCTGACAAAACTTGGCTACCAGGTTGAGGCCATCATAGCCAATGCAGCGCACTTCGGATTGCCACAGCAGAGAAATCGAGCATGGTTGATGTGCACACTCAAATCCGAGGCCGCAAACAGCGGTGAAGTCGTCAAAGATGTGCGCCTTTTTCAGTGCAAACCTTTCAGTCTCTCATCATGCCTTTTGGAGGGTGGCGGACCTTTGGAACCCAAACCAAAGGCCAGAAAGACCAATCACCCGGGATCCTCTCAGAAGGAGCCTAGATGGAAGGAAGGCCTTGATGAGCAATGTGATATCCTCGGTAAGGCAGATTGGGCTTTGCATTGAATTGTTTTACTATTATTTTGTGTTTTGTTACAATCAGTTATTATTCATTCATCAAAGCTCGCTGACCAAGGAGAAGGTTCACAAGCGCATCAAGCAGATACGGCCAATGGTGCCAACCTTGACCGAGCGCGAACTGAGTATCCTGGCTTGTTCCATTGAGGAAATCTACCAGAAGAAGAAGGTGGACTGCATGCATTGCTTGGTCTGCATACAAGTCGCCAGATGCCCAGTCAACCATTAATTTTACTGTAATTTGTGAGGCATTGGAACATCCTGACTGAATGTGTCTACCAGCCTGGTTTGAAGGAAATCACAAAAGGTTTGACTTTGCATGCCCAATACAACACAGCAAGACTCTCTTGCACGGATTGAGGACCAGAACTTCGCCCGGCAAAACTACTCCAAATCATCGCTGGACACAACGACGTGCCTGATCCCGGGAGGGAAATATGTGCTCACTGGGCCGAATGGGTTCAGAATCCTTCAGCCGCAGGAGGGGCCTTCCAATCAAATAGTTGGCGACATTGGATCGTTTGTTACATTGCGGTTGTTGGGTTGCCATGCTAGCTTGATTTTACTTATAGTCAGACTTTGTTCCCTTCAATCACACTAGGAGATGGCAGCATTGCAGGGAGTTGGCCCTAGGGCCTGGACCAAATACCAGATGGCAAACGTTCCTTCTCGGCTCATGCGGGACTTCATCGGAAATGGGTAGCTTGGCTTAGGAGGGGGTGGGGAAGATTTAACATTTAATCACGAAATCCAAAAATTGTATCTTGATATGTTTTTGATGTTCATCCTTTTGAGCGGATGGGTTCAGCACGTCCAAGGTTCGCAATCCCTGTGAACCTGGCGTGCCTGGTGTCCCTCCTGGCCAACTGGACACCGGAGAAGGTGAAGATAACCAAGGGTTTTGTAGTGGATGCAGCGGGCTGGTAGATCAAAGCTTTTGCCTGTCAACAAGATTTATTATATACAATATGATGCTAATACTATGATCTATTGATGTTCAAATGATGTTGATGCCGTCTTAGTGGGATAATTTCAGACTTGCTGTCACTGTCAGGGCAGGCAGGAGTTTTTTTCCCAGGCCTTGGATCAATTCAGATTTGCTAAATTAAGCAGCTAGTCGTGCTCAATGGGCAGCAAGAAATGCAACCGAAGCTTGCAGTTGAGGCCTGAAATCAAGTTCATGGGCTGGCATGTGAACAGGCAGAAGGTGTGAGGCAGTGCTTTTACTTTAGACCTTTTTGGGGTCCAAGGAGAGCCCAATACCTGTTCCTGTCTCATGGCGCCTGCGCGTAAACGTCAGAAGGTTGCCGCCAACCTGAAGAGCAATCCCCTTGCGTCCATGGAGGACGTGTGCAAGGTGCGCCTGTGCCTTAAGGACTGGATCAATGACCTGTACGACATGCGGCACGGGCTGCCTGAGAGTGAGAAGCGGGCCTGGCCAGTGGAAATGGGCGGATCGTTCCAGACCATCGTCCAGCGTGCATGGAGCGATATGGACACCCTTTTGAACGACAGCCTCAAGCTCCTGAAGTGCGTTGGCCTTGTGGATGATTCTGCAGACCTTTCCCATATGGAGAAGTGGCTCAAGATGAAGGAACGGGAACGGGGGTTGAGGGAGAAGTCTTACAGTTTTCAAAAGGTTCAACATTTAAGTTAGCGACAAAATATACTATATCATTTTGAGATCATGACACTTTGTCCTATGTCCAGGACTTTCCTCCTCCGACGGGAGCTTTCACTACCACTTCCATACTCCACTGGAACTTCGATGAATGCAGCTTTTGGAGGATCCCTGACCAGGCAACGGTTCTGGACATATCAAAATCCATAGCTTTGTCTGGCTGGCGCGAGGCCTGGTCTTCTGGGAGATTCTGCGAGGGTACTGTCACTGGCTAGGGTTCTGCTCTCCACCTTTGGCACTTCATGTCCGGCGTCAGGGTGGAGAGCACTTCTAGGAAGTGCTCGCCGCCACCAATAGTGGTGGCTATACTAGAGATATCGTTATTTTTTTTTCCCTATGCCTGGCCCAGACAATGGGGTTGGGGTCATGTAACAAACAAAGAAAGGGGGTGGAGAGCACTTCTAGGAAGTGCTCGCCGCCTTCACATACTCAGCAAGCAGTTCAAAGTGGAGAGGGAAAGCTCAAACAGGGAGGAAGGATGAGGAAGGGTTCCATAAAATAGAATGAGATTCAAAACCTTGACGCGGGTGGGTGGAGAGCACTTCACGGAAGAGCTCGCCACCCAAGCCCCCAAAAGCAGGTCGGTTTTGCTCGCCACCCCCGTTTCCCGGATTTGCTCGCCACCCCCGGTTCCCGGATTTGCTCGCCACCCCCGTTTCCCGGATTTGCTCGCCACCCCCGGTTCCCGGATTTGCTCGCCACCCCCGGTTCCCGGATTTGCTCGCCACCCCCTATTCCCAAATTTACTCACCACCATTTGATTTTCTAGCCACCCATTGCCATGTCCTGTATGTGAATGCTTTCTCCCTGGCAGGGCGAGATCTTGGGCATGCGCGTGGATCATTTGGAAGCCGATGAAGATGACTACACTGGCTCCTTGTACTTTGATGATGGAGGTATGAGAGGTCTCAGCGCAGCAGTCTGCTGGATTGGCCTTACGTACCGTTGCACCCGGGAGCCTGCTGAGGAACTTCGGCATCCTTCCCTCAAGCAGCTTGTGTCTTCCTTACTTTGCTTACCATCGATTCACAAGACACAGACAAATGACCCAGCAATGGCAATGGTGCAGCGCATTATCAAACAAAACGTGGATGCCAAGAAACTGCCGGTCAGCTCATTTGAGTGGAGCCAGATCCTCAGCAAGATCGCCAAGAATGTCTCAGTGGCAGATGCGATCAAGCTTTACAACAACGCGCCAGAGGTTCATGCACATGGCGGGTGCGGCTCCTCGAAGGACCCACTGGGGGCAAAAGTTACCTGCTTCAGACCTGGCTGTTTTTCCCTTAAAGGCGAGAAAACATTAAGGGTGCCCCAACCATGTGTAAATAAGATTCAGCCACAATTCTTTCCCAAGTTCACTTCCCAACCATCATTGCACTTTTAACAGGAACGCAGTGGCTCTGGAAGTCTATGGATTGATGGGAAGAAGACTTGGGCCATCAAACACTGGTTGGAGCAAACAGGAGAGGGTGCGTTGGAGGAAGTTTGCATTTCTCTACGGGACATGCCCTTTCAGTTCGGCCCATGGGGCGAAGTGCTTGCACAATACAAGTTCCTGTTTGTGGGATCGGTGGTGAACTTGAATTCATCTCAAGCCACCGAGGCGCATCCAGCTTATGACGAGCCCACAGTTACGGTGGACTGGAGCCTGAAGCTCAGCGCGGAGGCGCAAGCCAACTTGTTCCACAGGATTCGATTGCACTTTGATCAATCCACATGCATAGTGGATGACGTCAAGGAGAAGCGCAAGTACAGACAATCGGAAGAAGACCTCCTCATGGTGCGGAACGTGCTGGCCCTGTGGGATCAGATTAGAGATTTTTGCTCCCCTAGGTTGACTTCCTTCACAGAGATGGACAGGGCTCTGCGGACCAACAACCACAAGGATGCAGACCTGCGGGAGATCATTGAACAGCGCCCCTTCCAATTCGCATTGTCGATGTTGCCCTGTGCACGGGCTGAGGCGCTGAAGCAGGTCAAGGAACAAGAGCAGCATGCAACCATGGAGGTTGACCGTCAGCGTTTAGAAGTCCGTGAAGCTCGCTGGAAGTTCTTCCAAACGGCTCTGGCCAAAGACCAGGCGGTCCTACAGCAGCTGAAGGCTGCCCCGGCCAAGCTGAAAGCGCTTCGGCACAGGAAGATCATGCAGTGGAAGCACCAGGAGGCAGAAAAGGGGGAGAAGATTGTGCAGAACTACATGTCCACCTACCTACGTTGTGAGCTGGTGGAGCGGATGGAACATGCGCAGCTTCAAGTGAATGAGTTCAGGGCTTTGGTGGTTTCTAGCCTGCATCTTCCATTGCCTTTCTCGGGTGGATCCCTTGGGAGATTTGGGGTGGGTATGTTTTGCAGCCATTGATTCATCTATAATTCAGCAAATTGCAGCAATTATTACATATTCAGCAAAAGGTTGGTACCCAGTTTC